AAAATAATTTATTTTTATGATACCCTATACTTTAGAAGTTTGGGTGTCGGGGGATTTTTAATTGTGCTGTAAATAATAGAAGCTTGAATGGAAAAGCAGTTATTTTCAACACGGTGTAATTTTTGAAAGGCTAATATGTCATATTGTTCTATCAGAAAACTGTGCCATTTATGCATTTGAATGAGCACAGTAATAATTGTTGCTAAAATCAGATACAATTGTGTCATGTAGTTGAAAGAATAATAAGGGTGATTGAACTACTTACACATGCACAAAAAGGTAGTGCTTAGCAAGGTCTGTCATGGCTGCCTTCCCCATACAAATCATACATAAGAAGAGTTTGAAGAGTTTGGGAACTTTAAAATATGTAAACCCAATCACTAAGCAAAGAAGCTACTGGAGATCAGCAGCACTGAAATTCAACAAAGGATAAAATAAAGGTTGAAACAAATATTTTCTTTTGAAAAATGTCAGTTGTTTATGATACAAAGTGCTGTAGCAAATTTAATGTCATTTGGTTAGAGTGCCCTCCGGAAGATTTACCCCCCTTCTTGACTAGGCCATTTTTTGTGATACGCTGCTGTGTTACTTTACCTAACAATTGCGCAGTCATACAATGCTATACATAAATGAAATGTATGTACTTTTTTTCCCCACAAATAGACCTTTCTTTTGGTGGTATTTGATCACCTCTGCGGGTTTTACTTTTTGCAGATTTTACTTTTTGCGTTATAAACAAAAAAAGACCAACAATTTTGAAAAAAAACCCCAATATGTTTTATTTTCTACTATAAAACATATCCAATAAAAAAATGTAAAAATCAAAATTTCTTCATAAAATTTAGGCCAAAACGTATTCTGCTTTGCTAAAAAAAATCCCAATGAGTGTATATTGATTAGCTTGCGCAAAAGTTATAGCGTCTACAAACTATGGGACGTACAGGTGAAACTCAAAAAATTAGAATATCAGCAAAAGTTCATTTATTTCAGTAATGCAACTTAAAAATTGAAACTAATATATGAGATAGACTCATTACATGCAAAGCAAGATAGTTCAAGCCGTGATTTGTCATAATTGTGATGATTATGGCTTATAGCTCATGAAAACCCCAAATCCACAATCTCAGAAAATTAGAATATTGTGAAAAGGTGCAATATTCTAGGCTCAAAGTGTCCGACTCTAATCAGCTAAATAAGCCATAACACCTGCAAAGGGTTCCTGAGCCTTTAAATGGTCTCTCAGTCTGGTTCAGTAGGAATCACAAGACTGCTGACCTGACAGTTGTGCAGAAAACCATCATTGATACCCTCCATAATGAGGGAAAGCCTCAAAAGGTAATTGCAAAAGAAGTTGGATGTTCCCAAAGTGCTATATCAAAGCACATTAATAGAAAGTTATGTGGAAGGGAAAGTGTGGAAGAAAAAGGTGCACAAGCAGCAGGGATGACTGCAGCCTGGAGAGGATTGTCAGGAAATGGCCATTCAAAAGTGTTGGGGACTTTCACAAGGAGTGGACTGAGGCTGGAGTCAGTGCATCAAGAGCCACCACACACAGACGGATCCTGGACATGGGCTTCAAATGTCATATTCCTCTTGTCAAGCTGCTCCTGAACAACAAACAACATCAGAAGCGTCTTACCTGGGCTAAAGAAAAACAGACCTGGTCTGTTGCTCAGTGGTCCAAAGAACGTGGAATTACTGTGCTTGATTGGCCAGCAAACTCGCCTGACCTGAACCCCATAGAGAATCTATGGGGCATTGCCAAGAGAAAGATGAAAGACAGGAGACCGAACAATGCAGAAGAGCTGAAGGCCGCTATTGAAGCATCTTGGTCTTCCATAACACCTCAGCAGTGCTACAGGCTGATAGCTTCCATGCCACGCCGCATTGAGTCAGTAATTGCTGCAAAAGGGGCCCAAACCAAGTACTGAGTACATATGCATGCTTATACTTTTCAGAGGTCTGATATTGTTCTATGTACAATCCTTGTTTTATTGATTGCATGTAATATTCTAATTTTCTGAGATTGTGGATTTGGGGTTTTCATGAGCTGTAAGCCATAATCATCACAATTATGACAAATCATGGCTTGAGCTATCTTGCTTTGCATGTAATGAGTCTATCTCATATATTAGTTTCACCTTTTAAGTTGCATTACTGAAATAAATGAACTTTTGCACGATATTCTAATTTTTCGAGTTTCACCTGTATACTGTAATTTTTATTATTCACTTTTTGTTTTAGTAATGGTGGTGATGAGTGACTTATAGCGGGACTGCAATATTGCGATGGACATTTTTACACTGACTGACACTTTGTGGGAACCAGTGACACTAATATAGTGATCAGTGTTAAAAATATGCACTGATCACTATACTAATGATACTGGTTGGGAAGGGGTTAACATCTAGTGCAATCAAAGGGTTACCTTTGTGCCTAGCTATGTGCTTGGTGTACACTAGGTGGTGATTGTACAAGGGAAAGTGAAGGACCACATTCCCAGCTTTGCAGAGACACACAATCCTATACTTTCCCACCTGTGAGAACAGAGCTCTGCCTTGTTTACATAGGCAGAGCTCTGTTCTTTCTCCTGCCCAATGATCGGTGGGTCACAGACTGGCTTCTGCTGTGAATGTTCACAGCAGATGTGAATCGGTGGCAGTGAGCGCAACATGGCAGAAGTGCAAAATCACCTATATACTGTATGTGTGATTTTGCACAAGAGGGCTGTCCTGTAGCAGTAAAACAGGTATAGGGTGGTTTTCAAGTGGTTGAAGCTACCTTATTTGCTATAATCATATAACCTGAGCGCATGATTCCCTCATTTGAATAGACATGTGCAGGAATATTGTCTGCATTCACAGTAAAGACCAAAGGAAAACCAAATATTCTGGCAGTGTATAGGGTAAGGCTTTTTTCACATGAGCTTCAGCTTGTACAAGAGCAGTGGGGTTCTGCTCGCTGGCTCCCCCCCCAGAAAAAAAGAAGAGAGAGAGACCAGCCATCACGATCTTCCCCCAGAGCTGGAGATGCAGACAGCCAAATTGCAGCACTGAACATACCTCTGCTCAGGTCCATTCCAGCCTCACACATGTTGCAGTTCAAGGAGGGCTGGCATATTCATCTTTACCCCTCCGAGGCTGGCCACGCCTCCTCTCTGAGTCCCACCTAATCACTGAGAGGCAAGCTCCACCTGACCTCCTCACATTAGTGAGTGTCTGAATGCTGGAGCCACCTGAGCCGCTCAGCTGCTGCTGGGGGAGAAGGAAGGGCCGGGGAAGGGATCCTATCTGTATCCCCACCAGTGTGTGCCGCATCATATGAAGCTTGTTTTATGTGCAACCAGCCCCGTAGCTGGCTGTGACAGATGGTGATTTTCAGGACTTATCCCGGGACAAGAAAATGTTGTGTCTCGGGAGATTCGGGACTGCTGGCAACTAAGCATTTGGTGCATGGACATTTATTTATTTCATTGGCCAGAATTTGTATTTCTTCTGGCCATTGAAATGAATAAACACACACGCTACACACACCTACTGTAGATTTCTTCTTGCGTTCAGGAGAAGGAGCTTTGACTGCCTCTAAGCGCTCCTGCTCCTAACCTCCTCTAAAAGCCTATGGGGTTTATTTGCTAAAGCTGGAGAGTGCAAAATCAGGCTCACTTCTGCACAGAAACCAATCAACTTCTAATCTCAATTAAGCTTTGAAAAAAACCTTGAAGCTGATTGGTTTCTATGCAGAAGAGAGCCTGATTTTGCACTCTCCAGCTTTAGTAAATAAACCCCTATGTGTGCATGGACACATGGCTTTCATTGAGGTGCGTTCATGGGCTTAGGTAAAATGCCAAAAGCCCCAAAAACCTCAGTTTAAGAGCAGCAGTGTGCATGAGCCCTAAATATCCATGGCCTGGGAACAGGTGGAATTTAAAGGATACTGATAGAATCCAATACAGGAGTACCTCGATTTACGACTTTAATGCGTTCTGCGGGACTTTTCGTATTCCAAAAAATTTGTAAACCTAAACGCGGTTTTCCATAAGAATGCATTGAAAACCAATTAATCAGTTCAGGAGGTCAGAAAAATGTAAAAAAAAAGTCTTATCTGTTCAAAACTCTTTATAAAGTGCACTTTAAAGGCATAAATACTGTACAGGGACATGATTAAAAATGAATTTGTAAATGCATTGAAAACCAATTAATCCGTTCCGGAGGTCAGAAAAAAGTAAAAAAAAAGTCTCATCTGTTCAAAACTCTTTATAAAGTGCACTTTAAAGGCATAAATACTGTACAGGGACATGATTAAAAATTAATTTGTAAATGCATTGAAAACCAATTAATCCGTTCTGGAGATCAGAAAAAAGTCAAAAAAGGTCTTATCTGTTCAAAACTCTTTATAAAGTGCACTTTAAAGGCATAATACTGTACAGGGACATAATTAAAAATTAATTTGTAAATGCATTGAAAACCAATTAATCCGTTCTTGAGATCAGAAAAAAAGTCAAAAAAAGTCTTATCTGTTCAAAACTCTTTGTAAAGTGTACTTTAACCACTTGCCTACAAGGCACTTATACCCCCTTCCTGCCCAGGCCAATTTCCAGCTTTCAGCGCTGTCGCACGTTGAATGACAATTGCGCGGTCATGCAACACTGTACCCATATGAAATTTTTATCATTTTTTTGTGACAGATAGAGCTTTCTTTTGGTGGTATTTAATCACCTCTGGGTTTTTTATTTTTTCTTAAACAAACCAAAAACCACTGAAAATTAAAAAAAAAAAAGTTTTTTCTTAGTTTTTGTTATAAAATTTTGTAAATAAGTGATTTTTCTCCTTCACTGATGTGCGCTAATGAGGCTGCAGTGATGGGCACTGATAGGAGGCACTGATGGACACTGATAGGTGGCACTTATGGGCACTGATGAGGAGGCACCGGTAGGTGGCACTGATGGGCATTGACAGGCATCACTGATGGGCACTGAAAGGCAGCACTGATATATGGCACTGTAAGGCGGCACTGACTGGCACTGTTAGGCGGCACTGACTGGCACTGTTAGACGGCACTGACTGGCACTGATAGGTGGCACTGATGCACACTGATAGGCGGCACTGACTGGCACTGATAGGCGGCACTGACTGGCACTGATAGGTTGTACTGATTGGCAGCACTGATAGGTGGCACTGGCTGGCATTGATAGGTGGCACTGACTGGCACTGATGGATGACACTGAAAGGCAGCTCAGATGGGCACTGATATGTGGCATTGATGTGCACTGGTATGCACTGATATGTGACATTGATGTGGCACTGATAGGCACTGGAACGTAGCACTGATCGACACTGACAGCTGGCACTGATGGACTTTGACAGGTGGCACTGCTGGGGCTACACTGATCATCAGTGCCCTGATGATCAGTGTACATGTCCCCTCCGCGGAAAGCCGATTACCAGCTCTGCTCTCCTCTCGGGCTGTCAGCATGTGCCAATCGCCGTGCTGCGCGCTCCCTCAGCCGCGCATGCGCGGTGAGAATGGGAGGATGTCATATGACGTCCTTTCAGAACGAGAGAACCACCTTGCGCCCATCATTGGACTATATGACGGGTGGGAGGTGGTTAAAGGCATAAATACTGTACAGGGACATGATTAAAAAAAATCATAAATGCATTGAAAACCAATTAATTTGTTCGTATTGTGAAAAAAAAAATGTAAACCGAGGCATTAATTTCAATGGATTTTCATTCGTAAACCGAAAATTACGTTAACCGAGGTGTTCGGAAACTGAGGTACGCCTGTACTTCTAATGGCTTTATGTACACAAGTGCAAACATTGTCATTTTGAGAGGTGTACAGCATTTTTTTCTATGCCTCTGAACGCAGCTCTATTATAGACAATGCGTCCATGCACATTGTGGTGTTTAGATCTGTATTCTAGAGAAGTGTTCAGTGGTGTAAACATAAAAGCCCTTAACCCATGTTCCAGGAGGAGCAAATTGTCATAATTTAGATCTATATGCACCTTACATGCAAATGCTAGTAAATTCATTCTAGTGGCAAAAATAAATGATCATTCGAGCCACTAGAATGGATTTACGTGCATAGGCTTTAAATGCTCTATGTGCATAAATGCAAGTACTTTACGCACCATTACATACATTTTTACACAGGAGGTTTCTACCAGCTTCTGGCAGCAAGATCCAGTGTTTATATTAGTGTTTATTTATGTCTGTGTGCATGAGCCCCAAGACTACAGTCACATGGACGGCTAACGGTAGCTGTCAGCAAGAATCAGTAGATTTTTTTTTATCACTAGAACTACATGCTGCATACACACAGTGTGTGTAAACAACAGCAGCTGTCAGCGTTGGCTGTCACATTTGTACTCTTTACAAATCAATGGTCTGCGCCGCTGCGGTTTGCATGTAATCGTTCATCGAAGTAGTTACTTGTGAATAGAGCCTCTGATCGACCCTGGACACAGGCAGTGTGCGCCCATGGACACTGTTTCTGCGGAGTTTCTTGCTGTACACAAACTGGCTACAGCTAATCAGCCAGTGTGTATGTGGCCATAGCACAGGGAACAGCTGTGTCTAGAGGTAGCATTTAGCCTCTCTTAACCACTTGCCCTCCAGAGGATTTACCCCCCTTCCTGACGAGGCCATTTTTTGTGATACGACGCTGCTTTACTTTAACTGACAATTGTGTGGTCATGCAATGCTGTACATTTTTTCCCCACAAAGAGCTCTTTCTTTCGGTGGTATTTGAGCACCTCTGTGTTTTTTATTTTTTGCAGTATAAACAAAAACCGACAATTTTGAAAAAAAAAAAAATATTTTTTACTTTTTGCTATAAAACATGTCCAGTAAAAGATTTTTAAAAAATCTAATTTCGTCATAAATTTAGGTCAAAATGTATTCTGCTACATGCCTTTGCTAAAAAAAAAAATCCCAATACATGTAATATAATTGGTTTACGTGAAAGTTATAGCGTCTACAAATGGCGGTATATACACTAGAATTTTTATTTATTTCTTTTTTTTATACTAGTAATGGCAGCAATCAGCGACTTATAGCGGGCATTCTGATACTAGGTGGGAACTAACTGCCACTGACATTCCAATGACACTACAGTGTCACTGACATTACAGTGTTCAGTGCTAATAAAAAGCGCTAACACTGGGCAGGAAGAGGTTAACATCTGGGTCGATCAAAGGGTTAACTGTGTGCTGTTTTACATAATGTGCTGTGTGTGTTTTACTTGGGAAACATGCTGCTGTGTATTTCTTTGCTGTGCAGAGAAATACACAGCCACATGTTATTGCTGGCAGGAGAGAGACCTGTGTTGTTTACACACAGGTCTCTGCCCGGTCAGTGTTACTCGGCGATTGCCGGCTGCCAGCGGGGAATCTCCAATGGCGCCGTGGGTAGGGCGGCGTGCGTGCCCCCCACCTGGTAATACAAATCACATATATACAGTGAAGGAAATACGTATTTGATCCCCTGCTGATTTTGAATGTTTGCCCACTCACAAAGAAATGAGCTGTCTAAAAATCGAATGCACTGATTTGCATGTTAATGAGGGAAATATTAATTTGATCCCCTATCATTTAGCAGGATTTCTGGCTATCAGGTGTCTTTCATACAGGTAACAATCTGAGATTATCTCATTTTAATCTCATTTTGTAATCTCTTACAATCTCAATAGCTGCTAATCTCATTTTGTAACCTGTATAAAAGGCACCTGTCCACAGGAGCAATCAAACAATGCGATTCCAAACTCTCCACCATGGCAAAGACCAAAGAGCTGTCCAAGGATGTCAGGGACAAGATTGTAGACCTACACAAGGCTGGACTGGGCTACCAAATCTTGGTGAGAAGGTGATAACAGTTGGTGCAATCATTCGCAAATGGAAGAAACACAAAACAACTGACAGTCTCCCTAGGTCTAGTGCACAATGCAAGATCTCGCCTCATGATGTGTCAATGATCATAAGAACAGTGAGGAATCATTCCAGAACTACACGTGAGGATCTTGTCAATGATCTCCAGGCAGCTGGGACCACAGTCACCAAGAAAACAAGGATTGAAATCCTGCAGTGCCGGCAAGGTCCCTCTGCTCAAGAAAGCACATGTCCAGGCCCGTCTGAAGTTTGCCACTAAACATCTGAATGATGCAGAGGAGGACTTGTTGAAAGTGTTGTGGTCAGATGAGACCAAAATCGAGCTCTTTGGCATCAACTCAACTCGCCGTGTTTGGAGGAGGAGGAATGCTGCCTATGACCCCAAGAACACCATCCCAACTGTCAAACATGGTGGTGGAAACTGTCACAAGTTAGCCTGCAGTTTCTTGTTTGTGTTCTTACCTTCTTGCTGCAGTCCTGTTCCTGATCCCTTCTCATGTGTGTGTCTGTGCTCATCTATGGGCATCGTCTGCTGTCCTCTGGGTTTTATTTCCTTCCCTTCCATCACTTCCTGGCCCGCCTCCTTGTTTGCCTGTCTATATAAGATGTGCTCAGGCTAGGCCAATTTGCCTGAGCAACTTCCTAGTTGTTGGAGCTCCTGTGTGTTACTACTGTCTGAATCCTACATTGACTACTCGTGTATCGACCCCGGCTTCGTTCTCTGACCTTGCTTGTTTTCCACCTGGCCTGTCGGATTCCGTTTGTCTCCTCCCTTTATACTCTGCTCCCGCGCGTGGTCTCCTCAACCTCAGCTGGGCGTACCTGGGGGCCGCGACCTGGTCCCAGCTTGCTGCAAGTCCATCCCCACCATCAGGGGCTCTGGTGAACAAGCAGGCTGGGGCGGGCTTAGACTGCGCGCCCTGGGGAACCCCAAGTTGAGGATCGATAAGAGCTCACTACCACAGGTACCACCAGGTGCTGACAGTTTGCTCAGGTCATGTGCTCCTCGGAGACACCGCAGCCTCTCCTGGAACAACTTCAGTGTTTGACGCAGAGAGTCGATGTCCAGCAAGCCTATCAAGAGCAAATTATACACTTTCTGCAGGAACTCTCCTCCCGGTTGTATCAGCTGCAGGTTGTGTCCACTTCCTCACCCTCTGTTTCGGCTCCTGCTCCGGTTCCTGCTGCTCCAACACCCACTGTTCCTCCAGTGGAACACAGTCCTTCAAAACTCCAGCTGCCTCCACCGCCTCGCTTCTCTGGTGATCCCAAAGCTTGTCGGGGCTTCATCAATCAGTGCTCAATTCACTTTGAGCTAGCAGCTCACCATTTTTCTACTGACTGTTCCAAGGTGGCGTACATGATTTCCCTCCTTTCTGGTGAAGCACTAGCTTGGGCCTCGCCACTGTGGGAGTGTCAAGATCCAACTGTTTTCAGCCTCTCAGCCTTCCTGCAAGCTCTCCATAAAACCTTAGATGTGCCAAGCAGGACTTCATCTGCCACAGGAGCTCTTCTTCGGCTTCGTCAAGGTAGCATGACTGTTGGACAATATGCAGTTCAGTTTTGCACCTTAGCTTCGGAACTGGCATGGAATACCCTTACTGCAACCTTTTGGCAGGGTCTAGCAGACCGTATTAAGAATGAACTAGCTGGAAGAACCATACCCACCACCCTGGATGACTTGATTTCTCTTAGCATCCAAATCGATATCCGCTTCCAGGAGCAAGATCTGGAAAGGGCTCATCCACGTCACCCCCCAGTGGGTTCATTTGCTCCTGTTTTTCAGAAAGCCCCTGATCAACTTAACTCTGCAACCATACCAACATCTGAAGAGCCTATGCAGTTAGACCAAACACGCCTCACTCTACAAGAGCGATCGCATCGCCTAAGATTTGGTCTATGCCTTTACTGTGGGGCTGAAGGTCATATAATTAAGTCCTGTTCCGGCAAACTCGGGTCTAGGTCGCTCTGAGGAAGGTGATCTAGACCAGAACCTGAATTCCGCCACCTTCCCTCGATTTATCATACCTGTCTCCATTCATTGGGCCCTGAACTCGTACCAGGTTTCTGCTTATGTGGACTCTGGAGCAGCTGGGAACTTCATCGAGCAATCTTTGGCCACTGAATTGAGCATTCCTCTTGTCCCCTTGATGACTCCCCAATCAGTATCTACAGTTGATGGCTCTACCTTGGCCTTAGGACCTCTACGCTTCTGAACCACCTCCATAACTATGCATTTTGGCGCTCTTCATCGTGAGGAAATCTCCTTCCTGAACCTCCCTAAGTCTTCTAGGCCCATCATTCTTGGACTTCCATGGTTGCAGAAACACTCACCTAATCTTGACTGGAACTCTGGCCAAGTATTGTCTTGGAGGTCAAAATGCAATCGGACTTGTCTCCCTAAGGTGCTCCCACCTCGCACTGTACCCTTGGCTGAGGCCACCACCTCTCCAATTCTCCCTCAACATTGTCAGGCCTTACAAGATGCTTCTTGTAGTAAAGCTGCTCCCCTGCCTACTCCTATTGCAGTGTCCCTTCCGGTGCTGTTCACCTCTAGTCCCTCACCCTCTTTGCTGCCCAAACCATCGTTCCCTTTACATACTGTGCAGCTTGGAGCTCCTATTTCACTACTTTCTGGATGGGTGGAGGCCCCAACATCTGTGACTTCTGTACCATCTGAGTTCCCTGCTTCATGTGCCCTGCCTGCTGAGACCCCAAAACTCCCTTCAGCTGCTTTGGACCCAGCTGCGGTTTCCACATTAGTAGCTACTATGCCTTCTGTCCCCTGTCCCGCCCCCATACACACTACTGTGTCCTCTGTCCCCTGTACTGCCCCCCCTCACCCTACAGTGCCCTCTGTCCCCTGTATTACCCCAGGTTCCTGTTCTGCACAGTCCGTCTTGCCCACTGTACAAATCAAAGCCTTCATGCCTACTCCTGTGTGATACCTGGCAGCCTCCTCACCAGACCCTTCATCCTGGTTATTGGTGTCTGCTCCAGCCCAGCTTCCTGTCTTATGTTCTCCCATTCTTACCCCTTCTGAGGCAAATGTTTCCAAGAACGTACATCTGTCAGCTTCCAAGTACAAAGTAGCTGCAGACTGTGATCGCCAGGTGAGTCCCAAATTTTTCCCTGGTGACAAGGTTTGGCTCTCTACCAAGAATATCTATCTACGAGTACCCTGTATGAAAGTTGCTCCTCATTTTATTGGTCCATTTACCATCCTCCGCCAGGTCAATCCTGTTGCTTTTAAACTTTGCCTCCCTTCACATTTGAGAATCCCTAATGTTTTCCATGGTTCTCGTCTGAGACCGCATATCATCAACAGGTTTTCCCATCATCTTCGTCACCTTTCCCCAATAGTAGGTACTTTGGATCAATATGAAGTCAAGCAAATCTTGGATTCTAAATTTATTAGAGGGACGCTCTTGTATCTAATTGACTGGCAGGGATATGGTCCTGAGGAGAAGTATTGGATTCCTTCTACTTATGTTTCTGCACCCCGTCTGGTGCAATTTTTTAATCAGAAGTTTCCCCTTAAGCCTGGCCCTAAAAAAGTGGGGAGACCTTGTAAGGGGGGGAGGGGTACTGTCACAAGTTAGCCTGCAGTTTCTTGTTTGTGTTCTTACCTTCTTGCTGCTGTCCTGTTCCTGATCCCTTCTCATGTGTTTGTCTGTGCTCATCTATGGGCGTCGTCTTCTGTCCTCTGTGTTTTATTTCCTTCCCTTCAATCACTTCCTGGCCCGTCTCCTTGTTTGCCTGTCTATATAAGATGTGCTCAGATTAGGCCACTTTGCCTGAGAAACTTCCTAGTTGTCAGAGCTCCTGTGTGTTACCACTGTCTGAATCCTACATTGACTACTCGTGTACTGACTCCGGCTTCGTTCTCTGACCTTGCTTGTTTTCCACCTGTCCTGACCTCGGCTTGCCAATTGGATTCCATTTGTGTTCTCCCTATATACTCTGCTCCCACGAGCGGTCTCCTCAACCTCAGCTGGGCTTACCTGGGGGCCACGACCTGGTCCCAGCTTGCTGCAAATCCACCCCCACCATCAGGGGCACTGGTGAACAAGCAGGCTGGGGCTTAGACTTTGTGCCCTGGGGAACCCCAAGTTGAGGATCAATAAGATCTTACTACCACAGGTGCTGACAGTAACATTCTGCTTTGGGGATGTTTTTCTGCTAAGGGGACAGGACAACTGCACCGTATCAAAGGGATGATGGACGGGGCAATGTACTGGGTGAGAACCTTCTTCCCTCAGCCAGGGCATTGAAAATGGGTCGTGGATGGGTGTTCCAGCATGACAATGACCCAAAACACACGGCCAAGGCAACAAAGGAGTGGCTCAATAAGAAGCACATTAAGGTCCTGGAGTGGCCTAGCCAGTCTCCAGACCTTAATCCATTGAAAATCTGTGGTGGGAGCTGAAAGTTCGAGTTGCCAAATGTCAGCCACCAAACCTTAATGACTTGGAGAGGATCTGCCAAGAGGAGTGGGCTAAAATCCCTCCTGAGATGTGTGCAAACCTGGTGGCCAACTACAGGAAACTTCTGACCTCTACTAAGTCATGTTTTGCGAAGGGGATCAAATACTTATTTCCCTCATGAACATGCAAATCAGTGCATAATGTTAGTCATGCATTTCTTTTGAATTTTTTGTTGCTATTCTGTCTCTCAGTGTTTACAATACACCTACCATTTGATTTTTAGACTGATCATTTCTTTGTGAGTGGGCAAATATGTGTATATATGTGATCTTACGCAACCCTGCCGCCCTGTAGCAGTAGTTTTACTATAGAGTGGCAGGCAAGCGGTGAATGCAGCAAACTATCTGCCCCTGGCCACCCATATGAATGAGCTCTAATACAAATAGTTATTCTGTTTTAGGAATGCATGAAAAATGATAATATTTGGTAAAAAGAATGACTGTTTCTAACAAAACCTAATCACACAGGTGCCTTGATACACATGAAAGTTTCATTTACTCTGATTGGTGCTAAAAACATGAACAGTTGTGTTACAGTGTAAAATGTCTTCAGTAAATTGCTTCTTTTATGTGCAGCTTTGGACTGCAGAGAGTACAAACCTTTACATTTACTGCTCTGTTGGCGCAGAGCTTCTGATGAGGTACTGACATATGAATGGCGTTGATTCTGAATTTGAGCTACATAATTATTATGGATTAATTACAACTCCTCCAGCTGTCGAATGTTACAGAAAGAAATGTGCTGTCCTGTCTGCATATAAAACTAATTTGTTTAAGCTTTAGTATCTGATAAAATTAGGTTTATTTAATATTTGCATTCTAATGACAGTCTATTATTAAAGAAAACATAACGGAAGAAGATGCAGATGGGATATATAGCTCAGAGAATTAATTATCAGATATGTTCTCAGTTTAGCACCTTGGTTGTTTGTGCGAAAAATAAAAGTCAGAAGCATCCTTGTACTGCAACAATACCTGTAAATTTCCCTTCATTTTGTTGCTACAGTTACACAGTGTGAGAACTGGTATCGTCACAGCATTACAGTACTGCATGAAAAGGTTCCACACTTTGCTTTTATACTGGTTCTTATGCAGCCAGTTGGTAACACTTTGCTTGCCTAATATTCATTCATGCCTTCCCATTTATCATTTTGACTTTTTCCCATTAGCTCTTTAATCCTGTTTATGTTACAGTTGATAGCACAAGAAATCTAGAATGAAATCAATCATAAAAACGTTCCTAGTGTTAAAAGTGACCATACAATAATGAAAAAGCTCAAAGCACAAATTTGCTAGAGGCACATTCACTCCAACACACCTTCCCAATACACCTGCGCTGCCATGTACTGTAAAATGCGGTAAGGCCCCGTTCACACCTATGCAGTTTGCTTTTTGTCCGTTTTTCAGTGCTTTTTTTGGATGCATTTTTTAAGTGTTTTTTCCATGTTTTGCGTTTTGTTCAGCCCGACAAAAAAATTCCACTTTAAAAAGAAAAAAAATTATTTTTAAGGTGGAATATTTTTGTCACTGGGCAGAATAAAAATGCAAAACGCAAAACCAGGTAAAAACGCACTACCATTCATTTCAGCAGCTTCTCCATTCAACTCTATTGTAGCAAAAATGCTGCTTTTTGCTTTTAAAAAAAAGTCCCTAACCCTTTCCAACAATGCAGCAGCTCAAAAAATCATAGATGTTGTTCCATAGGAGACCATGTTAACCACTTCAAGTCTGGACACTTTCACCCCCTTCGAGTCCAGGCCAATTTTTTTGAGACAGATAAAACTTTATTTTGGTGGTATTTATTCCTGAATTAACACAATGAGTGATCAGTACCGGTCACTCTCTTTGTTCATTCGTAACTGAAGCATAGTAAACTGTTTTTTTTTTGTGGGGGCCCTATTAGGTTGGCTGTATGG